GGGGCCGGCGCGGCCTGGGGCGGCCTCGCCGGCAGCCCCTGCTGTCACCGCGCGGCGCCGGGCTCGCCCGGCCCGAGCCTTTCGGGGGCTCGGGGCCGTTCAGGTGGGAAGAGGCCGAGGCCAGACCCGGGCGGCTGGGGCGGGGGAGAGGTGTTGCGGGGGGAGGTCAGCTGGAGCAGACAAAGGGAGGGACTTCTCCTTTTGGCTCCTGCCTCACTAACCCAGTGGTACAGAAAGTAAATGTGGCTGTGCTTTTCCACCGGGACGGAAGAATCCCGTGTCCGCCCTGAACTTGAAGGACAAGGGATTTTTTTTCTTTGAGAAACAAGGAAGTTAGTTAAAAAACAGTGTGAAGAGAAAGTAGGTTAAGGCAGCAAATAGAGTAACATTCATAGAGTTACCTTGAAGGTTTCTTTAAGGTAAATTTGTTAGGGGCCTAGGTTTGCGTGCACCAGTTCAACACACCTCCAAGGCCAGGGAAGCATCTAGTAGTCAAGGGGCCAGTGGCTCATTAGTTATCAGAACTCTAGTATTTCAAAAAACATTGACTCAAATTATGCTTGTTAAGAGAAAGTGTCTTTGGTAGGTGATAGTCAAATCACAAGGAAATCTAAGAAAGGAACAGACCAATGATACACTTACAGGTTTATCCACAATAGTCTATAGAGCCTTCAAGTGTGTCAGTATTGCTACTAGACCACCAGGGTGTAAAGGCAAACATCAAAGAGGAAAAGGAAATGGCAAAGAAGTTTTCTTTGCTTTTGTCCTCATGAAAGAGCATGATGGAGAATTACCTACTTCACAGTGATTTACCTACTTCGTAAGTTGTAAAGGTCAGGCACTGTGAGAGAGAGAAGTATCAAAAAGAAGTGAAATTAAGATCCATTCAATCACCAGGACTAGATGTTATTCATCTATTAGTTCAAGATGAATTAAAGAACAGAGTTGAGTGACTTATTATAGGTTCATAGGGACATAGGGCTAGACCAGACCTCACAAGATCATCTAGTCCAACCCCCTGCTAAGGCAGGATCATCCCAGCCAAGTGTCTGTCCAGCCTGCTCTTGAAAATTTCCAAGGATAGAGATTCCACAGCCTCTCTCAGGAGCCTGTTCCAGTGCTTGACCACCCTCACAGTCAGAAAGGTCCTCCTCATGTCCAGAATAAATTCCCCCTGCACAAGCTTGGTCCTAGTCCTGTCCCCTACAGCCACATCTCCATCCGCTCTGTAATTTTCCTTCAGGTATTTGAAGACTGTTATCAAATCCCACCCCTCAGTCTTCATTTCTCCAGACTAAATAACCCTAACTCTTTCAGCCTTTTTTGCAAGTCATGTTTTCCAGGCCTCTAATAATTTTTGTTGCTCTCTGATGGACTCTTTCCAAGTTGTCCACATCCTTCTGAAATGTGGGGACCAAACAGTACTCCAGGTGAGGCCTTGCCAGTGTTGAGTACAGTGGAAGAATAACTTCCTTCAATTTACAAGTGACACTCCTGTTAATGCAACCAACACTACTGTTGGCCTTTTTTGCAGCAAGAGCACACTGTTGGGTTATATTCAGCTTATGGTCTTCTGTAAAATCCAGTACTGCAGCCTAGCAGGTCATTCCCCAGACTGTATTTGTGTAAGAGAGACTCACACAGGTGTAAAATCTCAAGAAATTCCACTGACTTCAGTGCAGATGCTTTGGATGTATGTTGGTGTGACAGAGAAGGATTTGGTGCTAAATACCAAGTCTGGAGGTTCTTATGCACTTGTTACTCCATCTTTACTTAGGCAAACTTTGACTGAAATCAGTAAGGAGTTTTTATCAGTAAATACAGTAAAAAATAATTAATAAATGTCTGTTTCTGCTGTCACTGAAGTTCATGGGACCAGACCAGACCTGAAGTGGAATAATAGAGACTGAGTGGAGATTGTTTATAAGAATTAAAAGGTTTTCAGTAAACTTCCTCACAAGAGGCTGTTTTAGAAACTTGCTGAGAGATGAGAGGTAAAGACTTTAAAAGTGTTCCAGCAATATGAAGTAAGGCATGTCAATGAATGGCCAGTTCTTGGATTGAAAAATGTTAACGGCAGGGTGTTCTAAGAAAATGCAGTAGGCAAATGCCTAGACTGTTGCATCTATTTATTAAAGATTTGTAAGAGGCGTGAAATGGAGATGAAACATATTTAGACAAAACTAAGGAGAATTTAGAGGCACTCAAGGAGCACCTGAAAAACGAGGTTATAAGACAGCATGACGGTAAATTAACAAAAGTGTAAGCTAAGCACACAAGAAAGGACTAGTTACTTTGCCTGTGCGGATGTGTTTTGAAGGCTATGATTCCCTAGGAAATGATATTTGCTCTTCTGTGGAGAGCTCAGGGAAGATATCTGGTCAAATAAGGAGTCCTTGGTTACATTAGAAAGTGATAGAATTTAATAGTAGGTCTATAACAACATCATATAAACTGATTCCATGTCCTAACCTTGAAAACTGTTTTCAGATGTAATGGTCTTAAATAGAAATAGCCTCAAAAGGAAAGGTTCAAAGGTGGTCTGTAAAATAACATGGGGCTGGGAGAAGGATGGGTCTTCTTTAAAAGGAGAGAATAAAAAGACTGTATTTATGCCAGTGGAGAGGAGTATCAGGAATGACAGAACAGAAGAGAGATGGCTTTTCAGAAGTTTCTTGTTGCATTTTTTTATAACCAATCAGTATACAAAAAAATCTATCAAGGCATTCTCATTTCTAAAAGGGAAAGTCTAACTGATTTCTTTAATTCCACAATATCTATTCTGTTGCTGCAGAGATGAGTCAGATAATTTCCTGATTTCTCTAGAAGTCATTACTCCAGAAGTTTTGAAAAACTTTTTGGCTGTCATTTATTGCCATGTCTCAAACTTTCCAATTACAGGAAAGGTTGCATTTCAGTAGGATTCCTTTTATTTCCTATTTTGGTTTTAGGGCAGAGTATAGTAAAGTGACTGCATTAACACTGTTGGTTGGTAAGCTCCTGATGATGGGTAAAAGTAGTCCATGTTGATTTTGTTAGATGTATGGCTTTGATAACATTATCAACATTATGTTGCAGATATGCCGGTAGGTTCTGAAAATGGTAGGTGGAATTTTTATTCATTACTTCCATCGTTTCCTTTTGGAGAGATTTCAGAGAGCTGTGTTCGGTAGGTAGGCATTTGCTGTGAGCTCTCTCATATCTGGTTCCATATTTGGATTTTGTGGAAGGCCCTTTGTTTATCAAATGTTTTGAGATATGTGTTGATAGAACCCATATCTAGCAACTTCTTGGAGATGCGGGTTACCAATATGCAGATGGATTTTCATTAGCTTGTGCCTGAATACTGTAATTTTCTTTGCTCTTCCAGAAGAAACTTGTGGAAACAGTCCAGAAATGATAGAGGAGATACCTGTTGGCTATGGAAAACAATGCTCTCAGCTCATAAGGGTTTTGACTGGTCTTTTTATTAATGGAGGATATATGTCCTTTGCCTAAGAGATTCTCTGTCTTGGAATTATTTTCAGTTCTCAAGTGTTTGTGCTTTCCTTGTTAGTAGTGGTAGCTCATGTTGTTGTTTTCTTGCCTGTGGTTAATTAAGCAGTTATAACCTTTCTTTAATATGTCACAGTCACCTCCACATCTCAGTACAAGGGTTGTGGTAGACTGTCCATCACTGGCAATTTTTACTTCAATAATGGATTTTTTCCCAAAAGATCGTAACAAGACTTACATCAGAGACATCTCGTTGGCATTTGTTACGCAGGCTAGTTGATCAGCATGATATGTTCTGATCTTAAACTGTGAATTTATTATAATATGCTCTGTCTGCAGTGATCACTGACAGTCACTTGGAACCTTAAGATACTGGAGAATGTGGTGGTGGATCAACTTGGTGGAGAGGGTGTAGGCAGAACACCGAACACCTGTGCTTTGTGAACTCTGTGCAGGCGCCCCAGCGGCTTCCAGGGTTGACTACAGGTGTTGGTTGTAGTATCTGG